GACTTAACTAACTTAAAAAGCTTCGAAGGCTCATTTTAACCACTGTTTTTGACTTTGATGCTGAAATTTTTGTGTATTTTGTGCACGAATAATCGAGTCTGCTCGAAATCCACCGGTAAAAGTCGTATTTTATACCACGGTGTAGCTTCTGAACCGTAATCGCCGAATTTGGACCAAAAATTATGGAAATAATGGGAATTTAAGCTCAACATTATTATCGCTTTCTGATTGTCGATTTGTGGAGTTCAAACCCAAAATTTTGACCTCAAACACAAAACTCCTACGATCAACTTAACGACTTTTGTCCTCGCATGTTCCACAATAAATTTCCCGAAATTCAACTTAAAAAAGAACGAAACCGATTTAAAAAGATTAATGAAGACACAGTTTTTTAAATGCGGAGCTGAAACTTGCAAAAAATCAAAGCCTGAAATATCGGCTCAAAGATGGACAACTTGTTCTTTCTTCAAACCAAAAACTTTTTAATTTACACTTAATGTGCGTATTTAAAATTATCAAAAAGTGATCAGTTCGACATTAACCAAACTCAAATGAGCGTGTTGTGCCGAGCTCTTCGGGCACGACACTGATTTTTGTTCAAAAACTGATCAATCAAGAAGTTTTCAGTGTTTTTCTGAGGTTTTTCAGTGAAAAATTGCTTCTGAAACCCGGAATTTAGAACACAGAGCTGGAAGTTTATACACATGTTGTGTACCCGAAAATTCTGGTTTCGACCTGCTCGAGTTCAGTGTTTGTTCGAGTTCTTGTTCATTTGGCCAGCTGCAACTCAAATAATGCCCTGTAAAACCCAATCAAATTATACCGAATTAACAACGAATTTTTCTGCTGAAAATTGCCGCTGATGATGATCACTTAGCAGAGCAGGCGAATAACATGGCAGGATACCAGAAAACTAGTTAATACCCAAGTCGCAGGTTTGTAAGGCTAATCTATGGTGATTTAACAGTTAACATAATGGAACCAATCTTAATAAGATTTATGCGAAGCGCACTATCTGGGGCATATTGCTGATCGATCATTTACCAATTATTTTGTTGCCGGTAATTTTAGGCAGGAATAGGTGAATAGGCTAATGTGTTGATGCGATATATTACTAGGTACCTACATGCTCATTAATCCGCCATAAAAAGGGGTTTCCTCTAGTTCGTCCTCTCGGTACTTGCCAACGGAATATTTATTTTGCATGCAAGTTGATAGTGATTTATTCTCTTGTCTTCAACAAATATGATTCTATCTGGCCACCACCAGCTGTAGTAAAGTCCTGCATAGCAGTTGAGCAGTCTGTCAATTATCGTCTGATCAATGGGTGAAACTACAGTTTTTTCTTGTTAAGAAGCCTCTGATATGATTGCCTCAGCCTCAATAGAACGCCAACGGTAAACAGGCAGAAAATATCGTGAACTGAACCCATCCATAACACAAAACTAATATAGCCATTAGATTCTGACTAGCAGTGAATGGCCGGTACCGTTTGCATTTTTCCTCTTGTTTAGGTCGGAGTTAAACAATCTCCTTATCTGAATACTAACGAGAAAATGGCACCGCAGATCCATCCAGATGGATGATCGATCGCTTTCGAAGGGTATGAATGCATGCCGATTGAATGTACAGAGATAAATCAGGAATGACTCGACCGTTCCAGCCTAATTGTCTGAAACAATAATGACTATCTCCATTACAAACTGCGACTCTGAATTCCATCCACCCACTATTGCAATAACTGCATCTCGCCAAGTCAGTAGGTAAAATAACTGTTTCAGCCCGCTAATTAGTGAGGCAAATTGATAGCGGCATTAAACTAAAGCAGCTTGAGCGATAGCGACGGCCAAACTCGGTTTCTTCATTAAATTAGGGAACTTTCAAAGTTGCACCAAAATTATCAGTGGAACCACTTGGGTCCTCCGCGTCCCACAGACGCATAGATGGGCTCAAGCGGCGAAGATAATGGCTTTTTTATTATTAAAATTGCGCAACATCCACCTGAAATTAATGACTAGAGATCAATTTGGAATCTTCAATATCGACGCATGTGAGTTGGAGCTTTTTCCATTGTTAATGACCTGAAAATCGCACTTGTTGCCCCAGACCGAAGCCTCAGAGTGATCGACAATTGCAGGAATTACCCGAAGTTGGGCAATCAATTTTATTAGAGTTCATTATCATCGCACAATGACTTGCGTGAGAGCCGAAAAAGGCCGCATATTTGAAGCTGACGATTTGCTTAAACTGGTTATCTTCAATTTTTGGATACTTTTGATCAAGCAAAGTTGGAGACTAAAACAACGTTTTAATCAATGCGCTTTAATCCGATTACAAATTGGTTTCGGTTTTTTCTTTTGAATAAATTCTGACTTCATGAATATTCAACGCAAAGACTTCGTCAACAATATCGTCACTGCCAGCTGGAAATGCGTGGGAAATAACGTCCTTCAAATCACCAGGATCCACCTTATATGGCTAGGCGAAGAGACCGATTCAAATTTATGTAATCCGCGATGCTCTTATGCAATATTAAGGAAATTTGTGCAATCCTATGGCTGTTTTATACTTATGGGTTGTTATGCAGTCAGGATTTAACAGTCGCGTTTAATTTATCGAATCATTGAAATGGCTCTTTGGGCAAAATCCCGATAGTAGAGGAAGCCATAAATATCGGCAATTAATCGCGATTGGAAAACGCGAGGAATCCTGCCGGTAATAAATGCGAAACGTTGGTGGTGTTTGATGCTAATTTATCTGTTTTCATTTTCTAAATATCGCTACACCAGGAAGAACCTTGCAAGGCTACTCGAGTTTAATTTCAAGCGCATCGGATTATGCAAGCCGTTTCCTCCACGTAATGTAATTTATCACGGTTCTCCCAGCAGCAGTAAAACAGTTTATTTAGATTGCTGCACTTTGTTTAATTTGACTTTGGCATCAATTATGGCACTCGCTGCTCCATCAAACCTACGCAGTTTTCCTGATTGCGACGCGAAGAAGAATGACCGAAATTAATCAAAATGGCACTAGCAAACATAATTTTCCTTTGGAAAACAATTGATTGATGTTCAATGGTGAACAAAAGTCTATAACTGAAAATGTAGCAGTCGAGGTATTTTCAGAAACTTGAAATTTTCGACCAAAAATTAAAATTTTGCAAACGTGTTTTTTACCCTTTTTGGATTGTTTCCGACCTAAGAAGCTGCCCAATAGCAAATATGAAAGTTGTGGGTCGAAAATAAGAAAGATATCGCCCGTTGAAGATTGCGACCGCTCAAAAACCTTTCAAAATAGACAGAAAATGCTGATTATTTGGAAACTGGAAAGGCCCCGGTGTTTTTCTATTAGCTCGTTGCATTCCTTGTGTCTTTCCGATGAAAATGATGTA